TCAACAAATCAACAAATGTCAAATGCTGGTGAGGATGTGGAGAAAAAGGACCTCTAGTACACTGCTGGTGGGAATGCAGACTGGTACAGCCATTATGAAAAAACAATATGGAGTTTCTTTAAAAAATTAAATATAGAACTGCCATTTGAGCCAGTAATTCCACTTCTAGGAATATATCCCTAAGAATCCCAAAACACCATTCAGAAAGATTGCATCCCTATGTTCGTAGAAGGACAACTTACTATCACATGATCTCACTCATATGTGGAATCTATGCTGAAGGGAATGAATCCAGAGACATGGAAGCATGGAACAGAGTGTGGAATTTCGGAGGGGTTGCGGGGGAAGGTTGGTCATTGGGAGGTATTCAACCAAAGACCTTGTATGCATATATGCATAACCCATGGACACAGACAACAGGGTGTGGGCAGTGGGCTGGTGGGGGTCTATGGGAATAAAAAAGTGGGCATATGTAATACTTGCAACAATGAAGATTTAAAAATGAAGTATAAGAATATCTCATTGAATAAAAAATATCAGTAGAAATTATAAAAAACAACCAAATAGAAATCTGAGTTGAAAAGTATAATAACTGAAATAACAACTTCATCAGTAGAGCCCAGTAACAGATTTGAACTGACAAAAGAGAGGATCTGTGAAAATGAAGATTGGTAAATAGAGAGAATATCTAGTCTATGGTACAGAAAGGGACAAAAAAATGAAAAACAAAACAAAAACAGAGCCTCAGAGACCTGAGGAATATCCCAAGTGTTGAAATATATGCACAAAGAGAGTACGTGAATGAGAACAAGAAAGGCGTAAAAATACATTTGAAGAAATAATTTCCAACGATTTCCCAAATTTCTTTTTTAATATATTTTATTGATTTTTTACAGAGAGGAAGGGAGAAGGATAGAGAGTTAGAAACATCAATGAGAGAGGAACATCGATCAGCCACCTCCTGCACACTCCCCACTGGGGATGTGCCCGCAACCAAGGTACATACATGCCCTTGACCGGAATCGAACCTGGGACCCTTGAGTCCGCAGGCCAATGCTCTATCCGCTGAGCCAAACGGGTCAGGGCGATTTCCCAAATTTGATTAAAAAGATTAATATACACATCTAAGAGGTTCAACAAACTCCAAGTTGAAAAACTTGCTGTAAAGTTGGAATAAGCCTGATCAAAACCTAGACACATCAGAGCCAATTGATGAAAAACCTCAAGAGAGAAGTAACTAATCCCACATATTTTTCATCAGAAACCATGAGAACAGAAAACAATTGACATATTTGATTTGGTGTTAGATAAAACAAAGGGTTGTCAGTCAAGACTTTTCTATCCAGAAAAACCATTCTTTATAAATAAAAGGGAAATTAAGATATCCTCAGAATATTTTTAAAACAAAAAAATTTTATCACTAGCAGATTTGCCCTATAAGAAATATTAAAGGGGGTTGTTTAGACTGAAATAAAAGGACAAAAGATAACATGAATCTGCAAAAAAATAAAAAGCACCAGTAAAGGTAACTATGTAGGTAAATATAAGACTATATAAAAGTATTTTTGTTTGTAACTCTTTGCTTCTTCTATTTGATTTAAAAGATAACTACCTAAAACAATAATTATAAAAACATGTTGATGGTATATTATTTTCCTATTTCTGATATAACATGTTAACATAAGCATAGTACCTTACTAGTAAAACAAACCAATTTATTATCTTACAGTTCTAAAGGTCAGAAGTCAGAAAGAGGTTTAATAGGTCAAAATAAATGTGTATACACCAGGACTGTGTTCCTTTCTGGAGGCTCTAAGGAAGAATCTATTTTCTTATCTTTTCTAACTCCTAAAGACTGCTCATTCCTTAGAGTAGCATGGCCCCCTTCCTCTCTGTACATTTCTTATGCTGTCACATCTCTGATTCTTTCAGACTCTTGTGATTGCATTGAGCCCATGTGAATAATCTAGGATAATCTCCCTAATTTAAGGCCAGCTGACTCACAACCTTAATTCCTTAGTCATAGGTTCCAGGGATTAGGATGTGGACATCTTTGGGAGAGTCATTATTCTGCTTACCAATATCTACTTATAATGTATTAAGGTATAATTTGTATGATGATAATAGTACAAAGAAGAAAAGGAGGGGCCAGGCTATATTAGGGCATAGTTTTTCAATGAGATTAAAGTTAAATTAGTGTTAATCCAAACTAAATTATTTTAAGCTAAACTATAACAAATTCTCAGAGCAACCACTGGAAAAAGAATTAAAAACTGTAGTAAAGAAACAATCATAAAACTAAATGGGACTCTAGAATATGGCTATTTAACATAAATTATAGTAATATAAGAATAAAGTATAAAACAAAAAAAAACAAATGTAGAAAACAAATACCATAATGTCAGACATAAATCCTACTTTATTGATAATTACATTAAGTATAAACATATTAAATAGTCAAACAGCAGATACAGGCAGGATGTATTAAAAAACATGATCTGAATATATGCTGTCTACAATAGACACAATAAATTCAAGAACACAAAAAGATTAAAAGAATGGAAAAAGATTAAGCAAAAGTGAGTTTCAATAGTTATACTTTTATCAGACAAAATAAACTAAGACAAAATTGTAATAGAGACAAAGAAGGACCTCCTATCCTATCCTATATAATAGAGGTAACATGCAAACTGACCCTCACAACCTCACAAGATGGCTGCCTGTGACCAGGCTGGCAGGGGGGTTAGTGAGGGATGACCAAATGATTGAACAAGCAGGCTGCATGGGGCAACCAGGCCGGCGGACGGTGGGGGGGCAGTTAGGAGCAGAGC